TATTAATTTAATTCAGTATCATCAAATAATGAAAGTGTAAATTAAAGTAGTACTTCATAATTTGTTTGCGTATTGCATACTTGTTTTCCAATTATATTAGTGTTGATATAACCTTGAATAAATACTAATTATTAGCAACATTATGTATACATAATTAATATTTGTGCTTAAATATGGCACGCTTTAATAATGAATATAAAAAACATATTAGCGAATCAACACGTAGAGCGAGAGATGTTTCATAATTTGAATAATGTAATAAACTTTGCCATGTATTTGCTATTTCATTGGAAAAACAATTTTAAAGGTTAAAAAACAATACGGAAATAAAAAATTTAAAACGATAAAGGATATATATATATATATATATATATATATATATATAAACCGAAAATAATGGCTATTTAATTTCTTGCAAGATAGTGAAAGTGATTGAAATTGCCAAAAATTAAAAAAGCCAAAAAAATATACATATATAATTATGTATGTCTGGATCTACCACTTTTTGGGATTAAAGATTAAACCGATTTTCATGTTTAGAAAAGCAATCGGTTCGTATTTGTAGTACGCAGAGCGCATAGGTTTTTTACTGAAGATAGGTCAGTTTTTTCAGAGTCAGTTAAGGCTGATAAAAGTACCTACTAAAAATGACCTTCAATGAGTACTTGATATTTAAAATTCAAATAATCAAAATATACAGAAAAATATAAAAAAGTTAAATTTTGATTGCAAATATATAGACATTTCCCAAATAGTTATATAAGACAAAATTCACTCAACGAGAAGTTTCAAAATTTAGTATTGCTTTTTCATTTAATTTAGTATTCCGTATTAATAATGCATTATAATAGAATAATTATATATAAAATAGCCAAATATGAATATACATAAACAATAATTAAATTGTTTAGAGCAATGTTAACCACATCTAAACATATATTTTACCAAATATTGGGTTTCATACTAGCATACAAGGATGTTTATGATTTAATTATAAATAATTCACATTAAACAAACGATGCTTATTACATCCTTTGTAAAGAATATCATTCAGCGATTTACCAAAATGAATATATAATTACTATATCATTACCAGTAAAAAAGTGAATTTTAAAAATTTAAAAACTATTCGCTAATTTTTGTTGAGCAACTCATTTTTTCCAAAAATCTGGAGATTAATACAAACTTGCCCCAAGGCGATAACTACTTAAACGTTGCAAACGTTAAACAATTTTCAATTTTTTTTTTAATTCAGATAAAATTTATTATATATTTTCACAGTGATCTCAGAACTACGTATTATATGAGTTGTGATTACTATAGCACATCTTAACCTAGAATTCTTCTCGATAAGGTAACTCAGCGGTCAACTACTCTTCTTTATATGTATAAACTATATATACATTTATATATATATATATATATATATATATACATATTATATATATATATATATATATATATATATATGATATAATTAGCAGTTCATTCGTTGAAAGAAAAACATTATTAATTATACGTTTCGACACTTGATGAGCGTCATCATTCAGCAGATCAACCAGAACAAAAGCAACTTCATTGTTGATTGTGTTTTGAGAAGCATATCTTTTGCTTAAGAAGCATGATGTCCTCTGCTTTAATTTTTTATTTAATTTTTTCAGTTTATGTGTTTATATATGTTGCAGCAATGACCACGAAATGCGATTTTTAATTTAGATTATATACGAGATCTATAACCTCAAGTAGAAATTTGATGTTATACTGCTTGATATCGAGCAAGACGAGGTTGGGATCAAACCCGGAACTAGCAAACTTTCGTAACCTTTGCACCACGACGGATTAATTGATATGATATGAAATATTCTTAAAGAATTCGAATAAAATACTTAAAAGATACTGTAATGTATCTTCTTAATGTAATTAACAAATATCTTTCAATAACATGATTCTTCATTGTGATTTTCCATGAACGTTTCGTTTGAAAAAAGTTGTTTATATTATTAAATAATAAAATTAGACATGGTATTTTGATAACGCAATTAAATGTATGTTGATTTTTTTTTTAGAATATTGTGATTCAGTTTTTGGGGGTTGTTGCAGTAGATAATGCAGGATTAGAATTTTTATGCTTTTATAAATTACAATCTCTCGTTATATAGAGGAAACAACATTCAGTAATTTTGGAGGATAATTATATAAGGGATGAAGGTCGAAAGGTCACCCAGTGGCAATAATAATAATCCGTTTCGTATGGAGCTTATAGAAGTGAATTAATAGTAGTACTGTTGCGAAAATTCAAAATAACCCACAAAAGTAAATGTAATACAGTAGAACCTGGATTAACCGGACTAATTGTTGTCGATAGGCATCTGGATAATCCAATGTATAAATAATAATATTTTTTTTATATTTCTAACAGCAATCAGAACCTTACGTCCTATGAGCTGTTGGGCTGAAACTTCTCCTTACTTCATATTTTTTAGATGGTAACTCAATGGTTAATCCATCCATATTTGATGATTTTTGTTATTAGAATTAATCTAAGAGGGCTGACTTTTTTTATTGGTGCAGGAATGCCGGGCAAGGGCTATTTTCACTTGGAAACATATTGCTATCTATATTTCCAAGTGAAAATCGTTGTCACTGCTGCCTGACAACAGGCTGCTCAAAGCGGATATCGAACCCGGGACCTCTGAAACAAGTCCCGTCGCTCTTAACCGCTTACCTACAGGCGAGCCCTATCAAAATGTTAATGGATTCTCCATTATTATTCAGATATATTTAGATTATATTCAGATAGGGGGCGTTTTCTTCTTAGGATTAGAAACTAATATTCATGTATTAGTAACTGAAACACATTTGCTGTGTTATATACAATAGAAGAGACTGGGTACGGTTGTGCCAAGGTACGATAGTGACAATCGTCATCACAGCTAAATTATACTGATTTTGAGATAGGGTCCAAAAACGAGAAAGGTGATGTATGATGATTGTTCGGACAAGTTTTCATTGTTGCATTGAGTCGGCGCCCTACATTAACATGATCTGTAGACCGAATTGCTTTTAAAAAGCCAAAAGTAAGTTTTCAATTTCGATTTCTTGTAATATTAATATTTACTTGTATGCAATTAAATCAATTTATTTTTCATTTTGCTGTAAGTTGAACATTAGTAGTTATTTACTAGCAATTAGTTTTATATGACATGTTTTATTTGTCTTTTTCGAGCAAATAATAAACAGATAAAAAAATATAACTTAACTTTGTAAGATAAAATATAAAAGAGAAAGGGAAAGTAAAATTCTATACAATAAAACTCGGTTCTCATTTGAAAAATTATGTTTTGTTATATATTGTTATATTATATCTATTAATTATTATGTTGCGTTGTGACAATAAAAGTAGTGACTAAAAACTATTTAGATGTTTAAAGCTATTATGTCCCTCGGGAGTGGACGGTTGTGACACTCACCCTTTTCTTATATAATTTGCTTTTATGACTAATCCATTGTATTTAAAGACAGTATTTCAATATTTCCACGTAGACAAATGTTCAAATTACCATATAATTTTTTTTCTCCCAGGTGACTGGTAAATTAACAAAATTTTGCTGATCGAAAAAAGTAGAACAACCGTACTTAGTCTCCCTTATACTGTAAATCATACTTAAATAAGTACTTAAAAATATCACAAATATAATTATTCCATTAGTTTTGAGAATCGTGTTTCCTTCTGAGTCTTTTAATTTACAAGAAAGGCTTCAAGATCGAGAAGGCCTAACGCGAGGTCTTAAAATTTCCTTAATATTCGCTCTACATATTTTCAACATTTGTGTTGATATATGCAACAATTATGATTCTATAGATTAGACGGAAAAAATATTGTTGATATATTTTAAACCTGTCGGTAAAACATATTTCCACCTGATAAAATTAAGTTTATTATTGTACACTTATGACTGACCTATGATAAGATAAGGGCTATTGTATATACAACACAATTATTATAACTTGCGTTTGGATGAATTCTATTAGTATTTGATAAATTAAAGAAACATTTAATATTTATATATAACTTCTTTTGCAAATCAATTGTGTACGCTATAACATATTGTTATATATAAGTTTAAATTAATATAAGAGAACTTTATAAGATATTAAGTCTATTAAGGGGGTCTTCCTATGTGACGGCCTGTTTTTTTAAGGATATTTTAGAATTTTTTTTCTACGACCAGTAAATAGTTAGAGCTTCAAGTTTTTTATCATTTATTAATACATATTTGGACAGTATAAATATAAAATTTCAGCTAAAAAAATTTAGTCCAACTAGAGTTACAGCGCTCTAAAACCCCCCCCTCAAAAAAAGAGCTCCCACTGTCCACGATTCCGGCTGATCGGCTTATCTGACCAAAAAAAAATAAACGGCGTTTAATTTGTAGGCTTAAAAGCACGGAATGAACTACAATCAAATAAATACAAAAAAAATTGGATGTTTTATAGACATTTGAAATAAAAGTTGCAAATTAGGCGTTTTTTTTTTTTTGTTTTTTTTTGCTATAAAAAATCGAAGTTTTGAAATTTTTGATTGATAATAGATCATTCATGCGCTTAATATATTGAATGTGCCCTGTAAATTCCAAGTAATTCGGTCCAGCCGTTTCTGAGATACAATGGAGACAAGTTTGAAAAACACAGTTTTGAGAAAAAACGCGTTTAAAGATAAATGATCGTTGTACTATATACTATATGTATACTTTTTTTTTTCAATAACAATTCCCACCTGTAAATAACGTCGTCAAGGACGCGGTAACATAGCGCATTTACAGAAAATCACATCAGTATTATTCTTAAGTAAAATAAGGATTTTACACTGTAAATACCAGCGAAAAACATCTTACTAAAGCTGGTTATACCAAAAAATGCGGTCACTTACAATGCCCATGACAGTGCCATTGGCCTTTCGAACCGCAAATTAAAAACTATGAATAAAAATGATCACATACCTCTGTCTGCACTTTCCATTATTGTTCCACTAAACTAGCAGTATCACTTTTTCACTTATTTTAGCTTTTTTGAACTGAACTTTAATAAAGCAACATTATTTAATATTTGTATAAACATGGCCGCGTACTGTCACTCTGTAAGGTCGATGAACTATCAACTATTTCCTTCAACAAACTCATGAATTTCGTTCATTAAACGATTTATTTTGAATTAACATAACGCACTACTTAACGATAAAATAAAAAACTTGTTAAAAGTAATTGTGCAACATAATTTTAATTTAAAATTTATTGTAACCTACATAAAATAATATAAACTAGACAAGAACGCACGTTTCGCATTTGACGCAGCGGCCGTGGGCGGCAGCACCTCACGGCGCTTATGTCACGTGACCGTTAGTAAACAACAGGCGTCAAATTTAATTTGACCCCCGAGCGTCAACTTATCACAATTATTGGATGCTACTCAGATCGCCTGGTTGCGTCTCGAAGGCAAACTATTTCTATATTCACATTCGAAAAGTCGAAACAATTTACTAAAATTAAATAGTCTGAACATTTTTAATTTGATTGTTCAGTATTTATTCCATAACAAAATTATTTTTAAACATAATTCTTACTAGTATTCTGAACAAACATTCTACATAACTGTTGACTGTTATATATCAAATATACCAATAATATTAACTGATACATTGGTATAAAACTATTACCCTACAAGATTAATTCATTCAGTCATGTAAACAATATACTAATAAAAATTTATCACAATAAAGTTGTTACCAATTGCAATCTTTCATTTTATAATATGTTGTTGCTATCATTCAACTACATATTTGATCAAATATCAAAATTATCATGAAACACGTTTTTCAGCTTAGATATGTTACAGCCATTTGAAATGTGACTCAAACATTACAGAGACACAGTACAATCTTTATTGATTATTAGCATCGATTTTTATTATACTAAAGTAAATGCTAAAAACCCGTTTTTGGTTCGTATCCTTATTTACAAAAGATATTATAATTTTAGCATGATTTAAAGTTTATCTATAGTATTCAAGAATCTAATTGTAAGATTCAATGAAGGCCCTGTTCTTGAGAGTTTTTAAACCAAAATTCATATATCAAAAATCCTGTGACTACTTTCTCAATAAGAATAACTTATGAAATAGTAGTGGAATTACACAAGATTTATATTATTTTTTTATGTAATTAATATTTCTATATAAATATTTGCTATTCATTTATTTAGTATTTTGAAAAAATAATTTTGACTTTGAGTCATTAAAATTAATTTTCAGTTACATTTTTCCAACATAGTTTATAATTTATCATCCCATGATAATTTGAAATTGTTGATATTTGATTTATTGTTGATGTGTTCTATGTCAAGTTTGATTTGAATTTAATTAACATATTTATGTAAAAGTATATAACTTGGAATAACAGGTTGAAAAATGAAAAACATTTGGTTAAAATATTCTTGCATTACAAATAAGGTACAAGAACATATATTTATTATTTAGAATAATTAACTACAGCTGCTTAATAAAATTTATGCTTATGTATATATCAAATATATCAAATAAAATATCAGATATAAAAATATTGTCCACCGAACCATTAATAATAAAATAATTAAAAAAAATAAATATAATTTTCATATACTTCTGTACATAATCAATATAAAAAATGTTAATAGTTAAAATTATATACAATTTAAATAATCAGTTGATAAAATAGAACAATAAAGATATTGCTCCAGAGAGCTTAACAATTATTAATTATTATTAAAGAGCAAATTTAAATGTTTCTAATATTCACCATTTGTTTGATAGTGGTGTTTCATAATATGACTTTATGTCAATTACCTTTGTTTAGGCAATAATATTATTTATAATATTTGTGAGTTTTATGTACACACAGTGAATCAATATTTGTCTTTTTATCATTAATATTACTATCAAATAATCATCTACTATAAATCTTCATAAATATCTGTTGTGATATATATATATTTATGTATATATATAGAATCTGCTTCTAGAATTTAAGGTTGCTAGTTTGGTCATACAACAGAGTCTTTTCTTATCCTGGAATTACAAACAAAAGAAACATTATAAATAATAAAAATGATAAAAATTCCTGTTAAAAAATATGGACCTGTATTTTTTAACTTTATGTGATATATTAAAATTTCAAGTCCAATTTTCAAGCCACTTATTGTTAATTAAATGATGTATAAAATGATAAAGAATTCTTATGCTCATCTAATATATTATTGCCTTTCAGATGAGAATGCTACTTATATGATTATCTTCACCAGAGTAATAAAAATAGTGTAAATAATTACCACATATAGTTTTCAGTTTGTAAAGCGCGCATTACACCGACACCTCCGCCAAGTCTTCTATAATTCATACAGCCATAAAGTCGCCATTGGTTACTTTCAGGGTCATATACTTCAATAGTTTTTAAATATGCAGTTCCATCAAAGCCACCCACAGCATATAATTGACTATTAACTACTGCTAATCCAACCTATAAGAAAATATTATGTACATTCAATATAGTCATATGAGATTGATGTTCTCAATATTACTGTATTGATCAGTATTAATTTTCCAAACACTAGTCAATAATTTTAGGTAAGGTAAAATTTATGTTTGCAGATAACTCCATAAACAAACAGCTTTCAAAAATGTGTTAATAAGATTAAATTTTAAATGTGAATTTATATTTATGAAAATAGCTTTCATAGATAATTAGAAAGTAAATAAAATATATTAATTCCTTACTCCACTACGCCTACTAGTCATGGCAACTATCGGACTCCACTGATTTGTATGCGGATTATATCGTTCAGCACTACTTAATTCCATACAATCATCCCGTCCGCCCACTGCATAAATTAAGTTATTGAATACAGCACAACCTAAGTGTTTGCGTCTTGTAGACATTGGACTCACAGGAGACCATTTATTTTGCCTGCAAGTATGTTATTTTAATATATAATGTGAAATGAAAGCACATCATGTATATATTTTCAATTAATAATTAAATTAAACAATTAAACAATTAATTAAATGAATTTGTTGGACAAATATGTAAAATACACAAAACTATACCTAGGGTCATATCGCTCCACTGTGTTGAGAGGACATTGACCATCAGACCCACCGATGGCATATAAAAATCCACCCAGGACAGCTACAGCCACACCTAACCTGCGTGTCGTCATTGGTGCAACTTTACTCCACTTATTTTCCTTAGGGTCATATCTGTATAAAAAATAAATAAAATTATTTACTATTATCTACCAACATATAGATTATATATTTCCATACATAATATATACACCAAAGAAAATTGAACAAAAAAATTAATGCACTAAAACACATGTTAAATCATATTAAAATCATTTAGTATTTCCCTAATTTCCCAATATTCATTTTTTATAATTTAATAAGTTTTTCTTTATAAAAAAATTATTTTACAAGCAAAAAAAAATCTGTTCAGTAACTACAAATCAAATAAAATGTGTTGCATTTCTACTTGTTGAAATTAAAATAGTCTTTACAATAATGAAAATATTTTTTCACATATTTATCTAAAAACAAATTATAAAAATAAACATTGTTAGATAAACCATAAAAAATCTACAATTAATCCTTACAAAAAAGAAAATAATAATTGGATGTCAATTTTATATTTTTACTTTATCAATTATTTATAGATAGTCATAAATTATACTAAAATTTTTTCTTCAAAAAATCTGGAGTGTAGAAATGACCTCCTTAATAACTACAGAAGTGTAATTTAATAAGTAAAGAGTAAATTACATAATAAAATTCTAAAACAATATACTAATAACCTTTCAACATGATTTAAACATTGCACTCCATCCTGGCCTCCAACAGCATACAGGTAACCGTCCAAAACTGCAACACCCACACTCGTGCGACATGAAGTAGTAGGAGCCACATCACATGACCATTGATTAGTTTGTGGATCATATCTGACAAAGTAATCAAAAGTATTACAAACTTCTGATGCTCTCATTAAAACATTAGGTTATAGCTATATCATGTACAGTATTGTAACATTTTTTTACCATCTTTTCAAACAAACTTTTGTTTTTATTATTGTGAATTGTAAAAAGCAAATATTACTTTGAAACATTACATACACAAAAGGTGTACATGAATATAATATAAGAATATCAATTTAAGAAAAAAAAGACAATTCTATTCAATATTATCAAGTAGTCAAGAGATAGAAGAGTAATTGGCAGTCAATTACAGATTTTACTTTTCATTAATGTTAGATTACTTACAATTAGTAAGGCAATAAACACATATGATTCATCCTTCATGTAAAATTATGTAATAGATTCTAAAAATTTAACTTTAAGTAGTAACAGAATGAGACAAATTAGTAAACATAGTTTTCTATATTTTGTAAACTCTTATTCTGTATGAGCCAAACAATATTTTCAACTCTATTTAAATAGTATTTAATTGAACCCTTTGCAATTTGATTCAAGCTTGATCTTTTTAAGATCATGAAAATGAAACAAACAGATCAATATATAATGCAAAAAACAGATTCTCTTTGAAAAAATTAGTCAGAAATAAAATATTTGAAGAAAGTTCAATACCTCAAAATAATAGATTTAACGCATGTAATTGAAAAGTGCCTCATAGGTAAATCATACAATATAATTATTTAAATAAAAAACTATTCACCTCTCAATACTGTTTAGATAGCTTTGGCCATCATGCCCTCCTACAGCATACAAAAGATCATTAAGCACGGCAACACCAACTCCACACCGGCGTTTGCTCATTGGAGCAACCATTTTCCAATCAACAGTTTGAGGATCGAAACGTTCAACAGATGCAATAGCATCTCCACTGCACCAGCCACCAACCGCAAATAAAACTTCACCTATCATAATTTTTTTTTTTTTTTTAATAATTGATTGCAAATATTTGTAATAAGATAGGCTTTAGGAACACATGTCAGATATTTTAATGGATATTTGTAAAACCAATCCCTTAAGTATTATCGGACTATAAAAAATAGTTGAATTATGAAAACTAACTACAATAATGAAAAACTGAAATATAGTATTGAAATAAAATAATTTCAGAGCAAATACATTTGTTTCACTTTACTTCTGATTAGCTTCAGTTGCTAAAGTTGTTCTAATGATAATAATAAAATAATCTAAATGATCTAATAACGAAAATTAAAAAAACTAATGCTAATAGCTATATAACTTATCCTACTTATTTCTGATACATTACCTCGCCTTGTCGGTTTTCTAGGCCTTGTTCGGGGGCCTTGCATTAAAGGCCTCTCTTGTGGCAGTAATAAATAATTTTTGGCTTCATCGACAAGATCTCTACATGCCTCATCAGATCTAACTAATAGATCTGACCCAACGGTGCCAACCAAGAATTTGGCATTTAATAAAGGCAGGCGGACGTGTTGTAATACTTGAGATAAGTGTTGCCTTCTTTCCGAAACATTATATTTCACCCATGACATAACAGCACTAAATACCTGAAAAATAAGTAATTTGATTCATCAAAAAGAAATATCACTGTAGTTTAAATTTCCTATAAAATCATAATAAAGTGATACTAGCCAGCATGTTTTTTGTTAATTTGTATTCAGAAAGTTAATTCAACTTACTACAAACAAAGCAATGGTATTTACATTGAAACAAAAATTAATTATGATCAATAGATCAAAAAATTTAGTAAGTTCTAAAAAAAACTTAGATATTGTTCAAAGTGGTTTTACCACGTTTGCACAAAATATCAAAAATAATGATTTTCTAAGAAAATATGTGTAGATTAAGACAAATTTGTTTCCTACCTGCTCTTCTGTTCGCACATTGAGCTCATCACTTGAAATAATATCAACTAACTGTCCGATAGGTAACAATAGGAACTCTTCACTTTCCATGACTTCTTGAAAATTATGTTGTGTGAATTTGTCAGCAATTCTCAACAACTCACGGCAAGAATGTGTATCAGCAAAAGCTCGGATCCCAAGACAGTTACTGGGATCTAATTGTCTTTTCAAGAATTCACAACATATATCCTGTATTTCAGCTAACTGAAGAAGGCAGGCGGCTGGCAGTAAGGTTTGCACATTTGCTTCTTCAACAACAATATGTGATGTATAACAAAAATCCACAAGCAATTCCATTGCTGCTTCGTCAATATCCCTTATAGTTACTTCTGTTTGCCGAGACTCTGCCAGCTCTCCAGTAAACATAGCCCGAAAATAGGGGCTGCATGCTGACAGAATAACCCGGTGGGCAAATATTTTACGTGATCCCACATTCAGCACGACGTCACAAAGTTCACGATGCCTTCTCAAAACATTCAATTCTGTTAGCGTTCCACGTGGGTGCTTTTCTGATGTATGCGATAGGCGAGCTGGTGATGGTGGCCGCTCGCCCATGATCATATCTCCCATCCTGAGATAAAAATAGCATTTTTATGTTGTACAATTTAATTTGATTTAATTTGTAACGTTTGAGGAACTTTTAACTATTTTAGCAGATCCTGGAAAAATAAATAAATGATACATTATAATAAACTAATAATTTGTCTGCCACATCTGCATAAGATATGGATAAACCGTTTTTGATAGTTCAACAACTAATAAATTGCTGTTGTGTCCCTTCTGGTTTTTAGGAAAAAAAAACTGTTTCAACCAAGATGTGTAAGAAACATACAAAAATTTACCATTTAGCATCTAGCTATAAAGTATTTGATATACACATGTAATTATCAGATTTAATATACTAATTTTAACTATGCATATAATTGTGTTTACCCCAATTTTGGGTTCCCTTAATTTAACTACATTAGTGGAACTTTGAAATTTTGCTCATAAACTTAGAAACTACATTTGCATAACAGTTAATTTAAGGTAATTAGCTAATTAAAAGAAATATTCAAAATAACACTAAATTAGTATGATTGAAACTACCTTTACTAGAGATTTGGAATTTTTCCAGTGATTTCCAAAACATGTAATGACTTCTAAAATATCTAATGACGGTAATCTTTGATTATATAAATATAATATTTAGCTTATGAAATTAATGATCAGATTTTTTAAATGAATTTAAAATTGTGAACTCAGAATTATTTGAAGGTACCATACATTTCTAAAAAGTTAAAAAATTATCACGATGCTCTATTTTTAATAAGTTTAATAAATATATGCTAGTTCAAACTCACTCCAAATACAATATTAATATTTATTTCAATAAATATATTGTGTTCAAAATGCATTTGAATTTATCCAAAAGTTTAAAAAAATATTGCATTTATATGATATGATTTTACAAATCACAAGACATTACTTACTTCTAAATGAACATTATTCTTTATAAGGATGAAAAATCAAACTAAACTCCTCGAGGAAATTGTTACAATACATATGAAAATTATAATGTACTACATTAATAATACAAAAAATTTAAAAACGTAATACCACTTAAAAATGAAACAATTGTAAATAAACCAATCTCATTAGATAAAGTATTATATATGTAAAATAATATAGAGCCAAATATAAACTTCCAAATATAGTTTAAGTTTCTATTTATTTTCATCTTTGTAATTTACTTAGAGTTTGGCATATGCAGATAAAATGAAATAGTTTAGCAAGTAGAATATTCACTCACGTTCTAGTTTAATCTAATGAATAAATGTTTTCTATGACTATTGAATGCAACGCCAGTGGATTAATTCAATATTGTATGAACATCTTCTTTTAATTTCATTTAGAGCTGATGAAATATTTACTAATAACTAATGAAATATTAAATGTGTCATGAAGCTGCAAAAATTCTAAATGTAACGTAAAGTTATGATAATTAGTTTGGCATATTCGAATCAAATGAAATACATTAACAAGTAGAATACTCACTCATACTCTAGTTCAAACTCAACATGCACTCCACAGACACAATATTTAAATATAATCTAATGAATAAATGTTTTGTATGACTATTAAATGCATAGCTACCTATACAGTAGATTATTCCAATATTGTATGAACATATTCTTTGAACTTCATTCATAGGTGATGAAATATGTACTAATAAAAAATAAAAAATATTAAATGTGTGATAAATCTGCAAAAATTCTAAATGCAATGAAAAGTTATAAAAACTATCATTGCAATAAATTTGAGATATATCGAATTTTAAATGTTAATTTTCAGAAAATAAAAAAAATGTTGAAACATCACTAGCTCATACATCCATCGCAATCTTATGAACATAAATGACATATTTAGTAGTGTAAAGTATATAAATTAGTTTAACAAAGTAAAATTTCATTTGTATCCTTTATATTTTGAGTCATTTTAAAAGATGCTAACGTACTGACAGTTAAAGTTAATCTGAATAACTAAAATCAATAAAAAATATTTTTTATTCTTATTTATAAAATAGGCAAGAGAATAATCACTGCTCTAATAGTTAAAATATGATTAAAAATTGAGCAACTAATTTAAATTGCACAATCCGGAAAAAGAATTATAAACTTGCATATTTAAAAAATTTAATATAATATAAAAAATAAAATTGTTACTAATAATATAAAAAGCATTTTACCATTGCGCATACATTTTCCAAAAAAATGTTTTATTATTCACTGGCTTGTGTTACACATTATCACAGTTGCCTGAACACCTGTTCGGGACAGAATGAATAGCTTTTCCATTAGCATTGTGTTATATGCATGAAAAACTTTATGAATCAAACATCTCAAAGCAAATTTGAGATTAGAGCTAGTGTAGAGTATGCAGAATCACTATCTACAATTGCCATGTTATACCTTTGATAAGCTACACAATAAAAGTTCTTCTCTTCGTGTTCTTAAGATGTAAAGGACAAAATATGAAAAAATTATAGTAAATTATCACCTGATAGTGGAAATTCTTGGCGGCTGACCCAACTGCAACCGCAGAGGGGGGGACGCCCAACCCCATACGCTGTCAATCTGAGAATCAGAAATTATATTTCGTTATTATAAAAATTATTTATTACTGCTGATTGTAACATTAAAATGACTATAAAAACTACACTCATCATCTTGTGACTACCAAAATATCACATGATTGATTCGAACAAGCAATATTTTCAATACTAATAACCATTTAATAACACTTTATATCGCACCTTTGTAGTTATAATTATACGGAGACGAACATATAAATCGACACTAATGGAGTTGCAAATTATTTTAATTCTAACTGAGTGTAAACACTTTTGTTATGACATCTTGCAAGTAGGTGTAGGAATGTAATGAGCAATTACATATTTGACAGCAGGGAAACGATACTTGTGGAACGATATTTTGTCCGTTTATCGATATTGTATTTGTCATCAGGCAACACTGAATTGTTGCAAACGCTTGAAATCAAAAGAGCGCGAATTTTAAATAGTGTTTGATAATGAAACTTGTAATCTTTAGTTTAAGTTAGACAAAAAAAGCATTTCTTGAAATTCAGTTAAGTTCTACATGATAAGTATAAGTATAACTATAATGTATAATATATATATATATATATATATATATATATATATATATATATATATATAAAAAATAATTTAGGATTACAAGAAGGGTTGCAATTGTGTAAACGGTCACGTGTCAACTGTTTGAAACCACTCATTTCAACTACTGTTAATTTTTTAAATTATTAACTTTTTTGTTATAATTTTATCTGTACCCTTGTAACGTTGATCAATAAATTATAAAAAAATAATAGGAAAAGAATTGATTGCCTTTTTTACAATGTTTTGAAAGTGACCTAAAATTCATGCCTCTACACTAGAATACCCCCTTGAATTGTGAACCTCTGGTCCTAGAAATGTATAACAAAATTATAAACTCTAAATTCTGTTGCCACAAATGACTTACATGACTTAAATTTCATTTAAATCTAAGTGGAACTTCGTGGTCAAAAGTTGAAAAAACTTAAGCTAGTACACGTGCTGGCGTTTTTTGAAATAATCAGCACAATAGCTTATAGCAATTTTTTACTATCTGATTGCTGTTTAATTATTGTTAAAAAAAATTAAATGAATGGATAAATTTTGGCTCACACAAACTTTTTCAATTTTGGTGTCAAACGATTCAGAGAGAGTTGAAGCGTCCATAAAAGATACAATCAACAAATAAGATTTTCTGGTTTAATTCTAAACATATAATTTTCCTTCGGAATATTAAAAACGTACAATTGTATTTGAAATATAATATCAATAATTAGTATCAAACAATACATAATATATAGTACATTACGCTACCCTGATTTGTTTATTTGCAGTTTATACAATCGTTACTTTAAAAACTTAAACTTAAATTAAAAATAAATTTTATGGTTCTATGATTACGAATCAAATGTCAAATAAAATTTAGCAAAATCTGATATAGGTCTGACATTTACTTTTATTTTTTGACGGAAAATGACTTTTTACTGCTGTGTGACAGTCGTGAATCCTAGTATATTTAATTATATAAATGAAGCTAAATCTAACTTAACTTAACTGAAATTAGTTTAGAGTATATTTTAAAAAAAATGGATGCTTTAAAATCCAAGTCTTCCTCTTGCATTCGACCACCGATACAATTTAATCTATGGCATCGCACTCCACAAACAAATATTGGTAAGTATAAACAATAATAAATATAAATTAAAATATAATAGAAAATAATGAATAATTATTATTTGAATATGAAGAGCAAGTAAACCGATTGGAAAATCTGCCTAAAATTGATGGAGTACAAACACGTGTCCAAAAGTTTGAAAATGTGGAATTACGATCAGATGAAAATATTCCAGCCATTAATGTTCCTATTTTGTCCATGTCAGAGGTAAATCTATATTCATACAATATAACAACATCTAAATCGAATATTATCATATTAATTTATATGCAGGTTATATGTCGAAAATATTAATCTAACGATCGATTAAACGAACGTTTTGATTTTTAAAGAGATCAAAAGTTTTTATTTTTTTTTTAGAAAATTTGCAATAATAAAATTATCAAGTAATTTACCATGTTACAATCTTGGTTAAAAACGCCAACTTTTGATGGAACTTGCCAACACACTTTAGTGGATATTTTTAAAGGAGTGTCTCTCAAAGTCGACCGATTTTTAAATTTTTAAATTTATAGTACAACAAAATGTCTTAGTTCTGAAAACCTTAGACAATTGGTGTTTTTTTACTGAGGTCCTAAAAAATTTATTTAGTTTAAATAAGAAAAAAGTTAACCTAATAACCGAAGTATAGATAAATTCACCAAAGCTCTAGGTTGCACTTAAAAGCTCATAATTTGCAAACGACGCTTTGGATATTTTTTTCCAAATTTTTTCAAGACAGTTAAGGCCAATACTACTATTCCGTTGTGTTTATGTTTTTTAAAAATGTATTTGAAATCCATACGTTTCGGCAAACATTGTAGCCTTCATTCAGTGGAATATAGTGTCAAAATTTGGTATCTTTATATTAAAATTGATGAAAACACTATTGCTCCATAGTATATATTAAATTGTTATATATTGAAATCATATTCAATATATATTTATAAAAATAATTTTATGATTCATTTAAGATGTTGGATTCACAATTATCACGAAAGCAAACTCATATAATGTCAACTTTAGTTCCGGATGTTTTAATAAAGAATCTCGTTGAGTTGAATGAAAAATGCCAAATGCAGTTTCCTGGAGTTTTACTATATATCGGAATATCAGGTATGTTTTTGCAATTAAAAGTACAAAACAGAACAACAATTTTTCTTTAAACTAATTTCCTTGCCAAGTAAACCATATTCAAAACAAGTATTTTTTTAAAAGTCAAAAAAAAACATAAACTGGTTGATAGATGCATAAGTAATATCAGGTCTTTGATCAAAGATTTTGGTAAACGTACAGAATTCCATGAAAATAAACCGATTCTAAAATAATATTTATGTATTAATATCTTAAATTATATATTAATTTTTTTAAGGATTCGGAATACTGACCGAGAAGTATAACAACACAGGAAGAGGTGGAACATATAGATTGACATCAACTGTTAACAGTTATCTAGGAGCCATGATTGAAGTAATATACGGTCATGGTGGAGATGTATTAAAATTTTCAGGCATGTATAAATTATTGTGAATTTAAACCAATATAAATTTAATAATATCATAAAACTCTTTTTTCATTCAGGCGATGCTTTATTGGTTCTCTGGAAATCAAATTCAAAAGATAGTTTGACAAATTTGGTTCATGTGGCTATAAGTTGTGCTTTATTTATTCAGCAAGCTTTGGGTTCATACGAAACTGATGTCGATATAGAATTGAAAGGTATAAAAAAAATTTCATTATAAATGTATATAATTCTGTAAGTTGCAAATATAATGTCTCTAAGTATTGATATGAAGACATAAAACATTTTCTGGCAGTTTTATTAGTAAATTTTTTTTATGCAAGTAGTGTTTATTAAATATCATTATATTATAATTTCACACTAAGATTTTTGAAAAAATAAAAAGTTTGAAAATAATTAGATTTCGTGAAGTTGAATTTTGAGAAATCTCATATCTTGTTGCGGAATTCAAATTTTATAAAATAAGAAATCATAATTAAGTGAGTAATTATTAGTCCAGTCATTTAAGCTTAAATCAGGTAAGAATCTCGGAATTCGAGATACCCAGCTGCAAGTCTGTAAATACTTGTACATTGACACTAAAAAGTTGTCTCAAAGCCTACATGTGGTATTGACACCTACCATATGTAGGTTTTGAGACAACTTTTTAGTGTCATTATACAAGTATTTACAGACTTACAGCTGGGTATATTGAATTCTGAGGTCAACTTACCATAATGACTAGACTATATATATATAATTGATGCATATAATAATTAATTACGAAAAATTTCAGTAAAGATGGCAATAACTTCGGGTTTTGTGATATTTGGAATAATAGGACAGAAGGATAATGTAAATAAACATTTTGTACTTTCATCTGATGGCATAGAAGAGGTAACTTATAGGATTTATATATATTTTTTATTAGCACCAATCTGATATTCACATGAACATTGATAATTTACTAATATGGTATAATCAGTTGAGTCAAATCGTTGTAATACTTGCAATGTCTGAAAGGTTTGTGTCATAGTGCCTGAAGGCAAATTTTTAAAATTTTCTCTATAACAAATATCACACAAAAAAAATTTAGAACTATTGAACATTAAAACTTTATAAAAATATTGAAAATTTTGTATTTATTTTAAAAATTTCCTCAATTTTGAATATTTAATAAAAAACTTTATAGCATTTCGTAACAGTACTTATATGTACTGGCACGATATCTAAAATTTAGTGAAAACAATGCTATATATATTAAATTTTATTTATTTGGTGAAATATTTGATCAAATCATTATGGCCATTTTTTCTATGTTTTGCCTATAATAAGATGACCGATTTGTTTTCAGGGCCTTTCACGCTACCCGCACAAATTTAATTTATTTTGAATTATTAAAATCGGTTGAGTAGCTAACTAAACCTAAAAATATTTAATGAAATTTGTAAAATACGACTATAATATATTTATATAAGTAGATTCGCCAAGCGGAGAAGATATGTTTTTTCGGAGAAGTGATTTTGACTCAAACTGCATGGCAACATTTATTGCCTAAACATTATGACTTTTTAAAAAGAGAGAAGGGGCACATCAAGGTATTTAATTGGATTTAAAATAACTTAATATTAAATAATGTAAGGAAATGCTTTACTATTTCGTAGATTATACTCAACTAAAAAACTACTCATATTGTATAAAAAATTGAAGCTTTTTTGATTATAGGTAAATAGAATTGTGATGAATCCAAAGAATACAAACAAAACTGTGATTCGCTATCAAAATCGTCCTTTGCGATTAAGTAAGTATATATTAGATTAAAAATTTAAATATTTTATTTCAAACTAAC